CCTGGACCCTGTGGCTTAAACTCATGCCGGGCGCGTGTGCGTGCGTGTCCAAGATCCCGAGAGGAGAATGGAGGAGAAGGGATTGCGGCATGGTCATCCCTCCTGAGGGGTGATTTCTTGCTTTCTGTCTCTCTGTCTTTCTGGCGAGCCCACGTGCCCTATAGCAAAAACCTCTCAAAAAAATAAATAAAAATAAAAAAACCCAAAGTACAGTAAGGAGTATTGGGTTGAAATAGGGACACTTTTCTTTCTTTTATATATTTTTTTCCTTTGCAGTTCAGCTGCTCTTATTTTTAACTTTAAAAGCCAAAGAATGCTATAGTTTCTTATGTTAGCCAGTGTGATTTCTATTTATAGTTTCCATTATATTTAAAATAGCACCCTAAATGTAGAGTGGAGATTAATAAAAATATTGGTGGTGGTGGTGGGGGGGAGACATTGGAGCAAACATTCTCTATCCAAGATATGGGGGAGGTCTTCAAAAAGTTAGTGGAAAAATGCACGTTATGAAAACTAATGCACATTATCAAAAATTTTTGCGCCAAAAAACCTTGTATTTTAATTTCATTTTCCAACAAACTTTATGAAGTCCTCGTGTAGTTCAAAGTCTAAGTTTTGCTTTCTGATTGTTTTCAGATTAAATACAAAACTTATTGTTTTATCATTTCTGCCAAAACACATTGTTTTTAAGCACTATCACTATTGAGCAAGCCTTATATACCATACCTGTGCTATTTCATCTTAGGGCTTTCTGAGAGTTTTGGAATTTACCATCACCTTATTATTATTATTAAAAAATTAACATAAATTTGTGTTTTTTATTTAAGTTTTTTTTTTTTTCTTTCTCTCTAGGGCACATGTGCTAGCCAGAAAGAGACAGAGAGAGAGGGAAAGTGAGAAACCACGCCCAAAGAGGTTGGCCACTTCAGTCTCTTCTTCTCCATTCTCCTCTTGGGATTTTGGGCATGCATGCACATGTGCCCAGGGTGTTTTTCAAGCTGCCAGATCCAGGACTCAAATTGTGAAGTCAGGGACCAGCAGATGGCAGAATGGTTACATTTCTGGACTCCCAGAGGGTCAACCACTGTTCGAGTCCTGGACCCAGCAGCTTAAAACTCAGGATGGGCACATGTGTGTGCATGCCCAAAATCCTGAGAGGAGAATGGAAGAGAAGGGATTGCTGTGTGGCTATCCCCCTTGGGGTGTGTGTGTGTGTGATTTCTTGCTTTCGGTTTTTCTGTCTCTCCAGTGAGTGCACACGCCCTATGGCAAAAATCTTTCTCTAAAAACAAGAGAAAAAATTGTGAAATTGGCCATGTGGGATTTAGCCACCTCAACCTCCATGCCTTCTGCTGGCTTAAAAACGTCAAATACTAAAATATGTAAGGTAAACAGTTAAACCTTTCTCTGCCCTCATTCCTTTCTCTATAGTAAAACACCTCACAGTTTGTGTACCTCATAGAACATTTTCTAGAATGATAGGCACACACCCACTCACACTCTCTGGGGTTTTATTTACATAAACAGTGTCACATCACCCTACAGTTCTGCTGCGACCTATCTTGATACTACACGTGCACTGTGTTGACATCTGAGTCCCACCAGTATTAAGGTGGTAGAGAAGATACCGTTACATGCTCTTCAATTAGCATAAACACACCTCGGGAGCCTCCGGCCTTTGTGGGAGGATGAGAAGAAGTGGGTGTAGCCACAGGTGAACCATACGTCTTTCTGAAGAAGCAATTTACTTAAGAGTATGAAAGTGAGTTAGTCAAGCATTTTTATTATTATAATACAAATGTGACTATATCTGTCATGGAGTAGAAAGGAAACTTTACATGATTTTTTTTTTTTAAAGAATTATTTAAGGTCAGCAGATGGCATAGTGGTTATGTTGCTGGACTCTCACATGGCTGACCGTCATTCATGTTCTGGACCTGGTGGCTTGAAAATCACGCCAGGTATGTGTGCGTGTGTGCCCAAGATCTCAGGAGCATGGAGGAGTAAAGATTGTGGTGTGGCCATCCCCCGGGGGTGGTGCTGGTGGTGGTGATTTCTAACTTTCCCTCTCACTGTCTCTGTCTCTGTCACTCGCTCTCTCTGGCAAGTGGACACACCCTATGACAAAAGCCTCTTAAAAAAAGAATCATTTAATTTTATCATTATTCTTTTTAAAGTAATTATTAATTTTCTTTGTCATTATTAATATATTTTTAATAAAAGTCTCAGACGTGAACTGCAGTCAGCCATGTGGAAGCCCAACACCTTAACCACCACACCTCTGCTGGCCTCATATCATTTTCATAATTTGCTATAGGGTACGTGTACCTCTCAAAGGGAGGGAGAGAGAGAGAGGAGAGAGAGAACCTCGAAAAAAGCAGTGAACGATTACTTATATGATTAATTTTCTACATATGCATAGCTTTACAATGTTACTGAACATTGGTTAATAAGTTTTTTTTTAATAATTATTTATTTAATTTTATTTATTCATTCTTTTATTTTAATTTGACCAGAGAGAGATACACAGAGAGAGAAAGAGGGAAAGTGAGAAAGCAAGCTACCAGGTCCGGTATTCGAACCTCAGTCGGCCATGTGAGAGTGTCCAGCGCCTTTACCACCATGCCACCTGCTGGTCCCATGCAAACATGAGTTTTTAAAGTTAAAAGAGTTTTCAGAGAAAGTTCTAATGCTTGTCTCTAACACCTGTTTCCCTTGGTATTCAGTACTTTATATTTTGAGGATAAATACAGTGAAAATAAACTTAAGTATATTAAAGGACTTTTGAAATCAATTAGTTGAGTAAATGTGAGAAAATAGGTTACTTTTTTTTTTTTTTTAGATTTTTGCCATAGGACATATGTACTCACCTCACTAAATTTATGGGTCTGGGACTCGAACTTTGGAGTTGGCCATGCGGGATCCACCACCTTAACCACCGTTCCACCTGCTTGCCCAGAAGATCCCTTTATACATTCTCAGTTTTTGTTGATTACAAATAAAGCCACTATAAAGATTGTTCAAAGTGGTTGACACTACCTACTTGCACCCCTACAGCAATGTATCAAAGTTGTATTTCCTGCACAGTGATACTTCTTTCTCATTCTAATAGGCATATCATAATTCACCGTGGTTTTAATTTACATTTCTCTAATAATTAATGATGTGGGCGATTTTTTTCTTGTGCTTGCCATTTATACACTTCTTTGGTGAAAGATCTGTTAAATCTTTTGCCCGTTTTTAAATTATTTTTTTCCTCATTACTGAGTTTTGAAAGTTCTTTATATACTCTGAATAAAACCTGTTTTGCTTAAAAAAAAAAACAAGTCTTAAGTATATGATGCATTTGAGTATGTATAGTCAAATGACTGTGACCCACTTCAATTTCATACTTTTGTGTTTTATAACTGATTTAAATAACTTTACCATGTCACCTTTCTGAGGAACTGTATTTTTCTCTATTTGTAAAATTAGGGGTGCTTATTTTACTGTAAAATGTAAAATAATGCCTTACATTCAGAAAAGGCATTCTGTATAAAACTGACAGTAGTCTAAAATACCGCAGTTCTGCTTCCTGTTAGAATAGGAACAGGTAGAATAATCCAGGAGTAAATAAGACATACTGATTCCAAAAGAGACTTGTAAAATAATTAAATTTGGAAATTAACTTTTTAATTATTTTTTGTAGGTGAACCAGCAACCTAGTATGGAATGATTTGAAAGAAATACCGATTTACTATCCCAGAATCAGTATCTTGAGAAAAAGGAATTATAAAAAGGCAGGTGTGTTTTTTTAACAGTAGTGCATGCAAGCGTCTCTTCATTCACATTTGCACCTGCACCTGATTTGCAAAAGATGATGCGTAAAATTTCAAAATAGCAAAACGTCAGTTTGTTACAATATTAGCCTCTGATCCAGGGCTCTATGCAGTAGACCATGCTGTCTCGCTAACTGGGTCCTTAACCGTGCCTAATCGTCACGGTGGTTAATCCTCTTTAATGGTACTTGAACTCAGCAGCTCACGTGAAACCTGGTAGATGAACAGCTAGAAGCTCCTCCAGCTCAGTTTCTCCTCCCCTTCGTCCCTCCAGTGGAAGGTCACCTACATTTTACTACAGTACTTATTCGTCTGGGCGATTATCCCCAGTGCATTCCTGTCTCCCTGCATCACTCTCCGGTACCTGCGCTCCTCCATCGCGCAGATTAGTTATTTTCCGTGCAGAGAGGAACGAAATGAAGCACTTTAAGGACCAGCCCAGACATAATTATTTCCCTTGGCCGTTGCAATCACATCTCCAGCTAAAAAGTCCTTCACTTGTCATGCTCCTGCTTACTCCTAAGGAAAATAGGTAACATTCCGTTTCCTGCCAGTCTTCGCTACTTTCAAAGCTATTATGACAGGATTAAAATATCTCACATTTTTGCTTAAAAAAAAAAAAAAACTGCGCACATTTTCTGGCTAATTTGTCTCAAATCCGAAGACCGAACCTCCTAAGACGGTATACACGCGAGGAGCCAGGAAGTGTGGCCGAGAGAAGGTTGCAGAGATGCTTCCCTGCCGGACACCAGACAGCCGACCTCCGGGAAACCGTCCGCACACCCCGGCAAGTTTGGGGCGGCGAGGCGCGTCCCGCAGC